GGAATTGTTAAGATGTTAAATGGTATATTACGATTTCCACATTAATATAATTAGTAGATTTCCATATTCCATATTTTGATAATATATATTCTTTTAGAACACTCCATATTTGTAGGAGAAAATATGTGTTTTTGGTAGGAGAAAATATGTGTTTTTGGTAGGAGAAAATATGTGTTTTTGGTAGACACATAGATATTTGTCGTATTTTGAAGATACTTTACATTAAGATCGCCATGTTACATTAATTGTGTTGGTTTAATTTAAGTAATGCAATTCAATCAATTATAAAACTTACATTATTTGTAACACTCTAGAAAGAGTCCAAATTTAAATGACAACTTGTATCACTAGATAAAAATAATGACTCTATTTTAATAGAGTAGATGTCTAACAATATTTCTAACATCGGATATTTTTCTTTTTACATGTTAGACAAATCAACAACTTATAATATCTATTCTATTAAAATAGAGTCATTCTTTTTATCTACTGATATAAGTTGTCATTTAGATTTGGACCCTTTCTAGAGTGTTACAAATAATACAAGTTATATAGTTGATTGAACCACGTTACTTAAATTAAACCGGCGGTTATTTATGTAATAGATTTTTGGGCTTACTTTTGTTTTTATGACATTTAATTGTTTGGTTTTTGGGTTTAGTATTAAAGAAAAACTCCAAAAACATTAAATAAACTTTCCACCTTAATGGATCAAAAATCAATTACTATTTTCAGGCACAAAAATATTTAATATTTTCAACAAAACAAAATTACCTATTATTAATCACTTATTTAAATCATGTACTTTAAAACATGTTAATATTTTATGTTAATATTTTTAGCCCAAAAATATTTAATATTTTCAACAAAACAAAATTATCTATTATTAATCACTTATTTAAATCATGTACTTTAAAACATGTTAATATTTTTTATTTTAAATAACAATCACTTTATCTTGATAAATTTTAATGGTAACTTTTAAATAATTTCTTATTTTATTTTTCTTAAATAATTTACAGCTTTAAAAAAAATGTAAAGCAAAACCAAAAACCAAATCTAAAAAGTAAAATCCAAAATCAAAAGCTGAAAAGGCAGGTTATATTTTTTGCTTTTTTTATTACAAAATAAACTATTTAAAAATTTTTAGAATATTATTTTGTCATCTTTTTCAGTTTTAAATTACATGTTCGATTAATTGAGATTTGTTTGTTGGTAATATCAGCTCAAACTAACTTAGCAGGTCTAAAAATTATAAACCCAAACCAAAAGCTGTAAATCAAAAATAGAAACTTAAAAACTAAAAAGCAAAAACAAAATCTAAAAATAAAAACTGAAACTAAAAATTAATGAAAAACAACTATCACCACAAATTTTGGTAAACTGATTTTAACCCAAAACATTATTTAAATTAAGATAAAACCCAATTACATAAATTTTTAATCATAAAAATTTTCTGCGCTTGAATTATATTTTTTGCTTTTTTATTACAAAATAAACTATTTCAAAAATTTTAGAAAATTATTTTGTCATCTTCTCAGTTTTAAATTACATGTTCGATTAATTGAGATTTGTTTGTTGGTAATATCAGTTCAAACTAACTCAGCGGATCTAAAAATTAAAAACTCAAACCAAAAGCTGAAATCAAAAATAGAAACTTAAAAATTAAAACCCAAAAAATCAAAATCTAAAAATAAAAATTGAAACTAAAAACTAATGAAAAACAATCATCACCACAAATTTTGGTGAACTGATTTTATACCAAAACATTCTTTAAATTAAGACAAAACCCCAATTATATAAAATTTTAATCATAAAAAATTTGGGTAATATCAGTTCAAACTAACTCAGCGGATCTAAAAATTAAAAACACAAACCAAAAGCTGAAATCAAAAATAGAAACTTAAAAATTAAAACCCAAAAAATCAAAATCTAAAACAAAATCTAAAAATAAAAATTGAAACTAAAAACTAGTGAAAAACAATCGTCACCACAAATTTTGGTGAACTGATTTTATACCAAAACATTCTTTAAATTAAGACAAAACCCCAATTATCTAAATTTTTAATCATAAAAAATTTCCGCGCTTTTAAGCGCGGGTCAAAATCTAGTATATAATTAAGTATTGGTTATTAATCTAACATATTATTTACCATGTAAAACAGAAGGTAAACTAACTAATAAGTAAGTTTTTCTTGAAATTTAATAATAAGTAAGTTACCCGATTAAGCAAAAAAAAGTTAGCATGTTATAAGTATTTCAGCATGTCATCTCGTATCTAGTTTCTCAGGTCGACTTTTAGTACGTATCAGCCAACTCACTTCAAAACCTTTTTCATTTATATTTGTAACATGTTAACAGTTATTGTATCAATTTAACATGTTAAATTATGTCATTGTACATTAACCATTTTGTCTATTGTAGTTACTCAGGCTGTTCGTTTCTCCATCTGTCATCTTCATCTAACTACTCCATCCAGATGTTCCATTCAGATGATTTATCTAGATTTTAGGAGTTGTTTGTTTCTCCATTCAAATGAGCCATTTGGATACGCAATTTGGATGAAATTTTTTTTTTCTATCTCCATCCAAATTAATCTAATAAACAGATTACAATTATACCCTATATTGATTTAACATATGTTTGATATTAATTTAATTATACTAATTTTTATTATTTCGTCTAAAATATGTATACATTAAAATTATTTTAAAATTAGCATTTTCACATTTTAACGTTTTCGTTTTTGGCAAGAAAACGCATTTATGTAGTTTTGGCAAAAATTGCTTTGTGGATTTTAAGGTTAAAAGTGTTTTTCGCGGGAAAACATGGTTTTGTGGTTTTGACGGAGAAAACGCCCGTTTTTACGATTTTGACGGAAAACGCGTATTTGCTATTTTAGCGGAAAATGTGTTTTTTTGGTTTTGACGGGAAAAACGCATTTTTAGTTTTGACAGAAAACATATTTTTTTGGTTTTGGCGGGAAAAACGCTTTTCAGTTTTGGCGGGAAAACGTGTTTTCGGTTTTGGCGGGAAAACACGTTTTTTGGTTTTGGCGAGAAAAATTCATTTTCGGTTTTGGCGAAAAAGTGCATTTTCGGTTTTGGCGGGAAAAATACGTTTTCGGTTTTGGTGAGAAAAGCACGTTTTTTGGTTTTGGCGGGAAAAACTCATTTTTGGTTTTGGCGGGAAAAACATGTTTTCAGTTTTGACGGGAAAAACGCGTTTTCGGTTTTGGCGGGAAAAACGCATTTTTTTAGTTTTGACGGAAAAAAGTGTTTTTTGGTTTTGGCGAGAAAACATGTTTTTTTATTTTGGCGGAAAAACACATTTTTCGATTTTGGCGAGAAAACGTTCAGTTTTGGCGAGAAAAACACGTTTTTTGTTTTTGGTGAAAAAATGCTTTTTCATTTTTGGCGGAAAACGCGTTTTCATTTTTGGTGGGGAAAACGCGTTTTTTTTGGTTTTGGCGGGAAAAGCACGTTTTTCGGTTTTGGTGGGAAAAACGTGTTTTTTTTGTTTTGGCGGGAAAAACGTGTTTTTGGTTTTGGCGGAAAAACGTGTTTTTTGGTTTTGACGAAAAAACACGTTTTTTTGTTTTGGCGGGAAAACGTGTTTTTTTTTGTTTTAGCGGGAAATTCGCGTTTTGCGTTTTTAACGAGAAAAACGTGTTTTTACTTTTGGTGGGAAAACGTGTTTTTCAGTTTTGATGGAAAAACACATTTTTGGTTTTGGCGAAAAAATACGTTTTCGGTTTTAGCGGGAAAACGCGTTTTTCGATTTTAGTGAGAAAATGTGGTTTTCTCTCTTTTTTCATTAGTTACAAGATGATATTAGGTTTATGTTTGTAATTTATATTTTATATAAGAGGTATAATAGACATTATACCATTTTAAATGAACCATCTCCATTCAAATAGTCCAAATTGGTCCATTCATATGAACTTTAAAATTAAGCCTATAATTTCAAAAGTCATTCAGATGAGTCATCCACATGATTTGTAACAGCCCCTTCGTATATTCATTGCAGGTGAGATCACCAATTCGCTTTGATCTGGCTATGTCGAACTTGATAGAAGTTGTGAAAAGAAGATCGAAGAAAAGAAAAGCTAGGGAAAACAAGAATGAATTAGAGAGAAGAAAGGATGTAGTTCTGGTCTAGTTTGGCTAGCTAATCACCGATTTTGCTTACGTAGTTCTGGTCAATCAAAATGCTTCATGGTTTCAGATCACGGTGCACATAGTTTGTTCTTGGAGAACAGATGATAGTTTGTCCTTAGGAGACAAGATGACCAGCTGCTCATTTGAGAGCATGTTTGCCTTTATCTTTATCATATACTAACCCTAAATTCACATACTTCTTCTTCACGTTTCCCTTTTGAAACTTCATCAATTACAGAATAGCTTGCTTTCCAAGAATATTGGCCTCTCTATCTTCACCTCACCGAAGTGGTCTAGACTAGAGATCCAAGCGAGCAAGGACACTGTCAGGACGTCATCATGTGGCTCAATTATAACAGTCTTCGGTCTCGGATACTACAACCCATATGTAAATTTCGCAGTGGCTAAGTTTCGAACCCAGGGACAGACACTTTTGCTGGAGCTTCTTTTCTTGGATGCCTTCATTATCAAGTATGCGGTATTCCTAAATTAGGGCTGAATGCGGTATTCCTAAATTAGGGCTTTCAAGGACTCCTCTGACCTCCAAATTAGAACAATAATGAATCATTACTGCAGCTTCTTCTCAAGAAAAAGTCCTAATCTTACGCATAGACTCATGTATTATGTATAGGATAGTCTTGTAATGTTGTAACAAATCAGATGGAGAAATGAATAAACGTTTTGAAACTATGCAAAATGAATATACACGACAACGAGAGTGATGATTTATAAAACTGGAAAAGTAAAACAAATTGTTTTCTTACATCAACATAACAAATTGTTTTTTTTTTCTTTTTTCAAACTCTTCCATTAAACCTCAAAAGACTCTGACCAAACTCATCATCGATTCACCGCAAAACCAACGTCATCATCTTCTATCAACCGAGAAGCAAAGACATTGGTAGAAGCGTCCAAGTCAGTATCAGAAGACTCACTTAACCTCTCTATCTTCTCCACAGCATCTCTCATCTCCATCCTCCTCTCTTCATCTTCTTCACAACAGCTAAACCCTATTTTCAACAAACTTAGCATCTCTGCTTTACAATTCTTCTTCCCAATCATTTCCTTGTCAAACACGTCACTCGTTTTCTTCTCCTTAACCATGTCACTCACCCAAGTCACGAGGCTCATGTTAGCATCGTACCCTTTACTTAGATAGTTCTCAGGGAACCTACCAGTTATAAGCTCCAAGATCAGGACACCGAGGCACCAAACATCGGTCTTCTTCGTTATATGTCCCTTTAAGCTGTACTCTGGAGATTTATAAGCAATCATTAGGTTATGAGACTGCTCTGAGTTCATCACTGGTCTTAGCGCGTAGTCTGTTAAGAGAGGCTCAAATCCTTTGTTAAGTACAACGTTTGATGACTTGAGATGACCGTGTGGGATGGTTAGTGTTGGTAGCTCCTTGAACAAGTAACCTAAACCCTTAGCAACTCCTTGTATAATCTTTAGCCTTGTTGGCCAATCCAAACCAGGTTGGTCCACAGAATGATTCGCTGAAACAACAGAGCATTTTTATCAAAACCTAGTCAAGTAGCTATTATATCATTGATAAAAAATGAACTTACCGTGAAGATGGCTAGCTAAGCTACGGTTAGGCATGAACTCAGCAATCAAAAGCTTCTCCTCTCTACGGTAATAGTAAGCCACAAGAGGCAACAGATTCGGATGACTCAGCTTCCCTAACCTCCTTATATGCTCATGAAACTCATCTCTTCCCACATTGTTCATATGTTTATACCTCTTCACAACCAGAGTCTTGCCACTACTAATCCCTGCTTTGTAAGAAGCACCAAAGCAACCACTCCCAAGAACTTCAGCAGAAGCTCTTAGAAGATCTTGAAGGTCGAATCTCTGAATGTCTTCTTGAAGAAACAAGAGTTTGTCCTGGTCCGGTGCTGATGATACTCTCCTTGTAGTATAGCTATTAACAGACTCCCCGGCTCTCTCCATGCTTGCAGGTTGGTCATAACTGTATTTATTTGCCCTGTCTTGTCCAGCAGATGGATAAGCAGACAAGCATTTCTGTTTTCTGGTGTGAAAGATACAAACCACAAGAGAGATGATCACTAGTATTACACCAATGACAATCAAAACGATTGAAATGGTGTAGAATGAGTTGGTATTGTTCTTGTTCTTCTCCGTTGAAGTAGAAGGGGGATTCAGAAAAAACCATGTACCCTCTGAGCATGAGGCTAATGGAGGATCACACAAGTCCTTGTTCCCTAAACAAATAAAAAATTCAAATTCAAGAACTCATGTTTGTATTATATCTTGAAATGTTTGTTTAGTTTTACCTGAAAAGGAGCCAGGATCCATGTTTCGTAAGCTTTCGGGTATCGGTCCTTCGAGGTCATTGTTCTCGAAGCTAGCTAACTTAAGATCTTTCTGTTTAAAATCAGGTATGGCTCCTTGGAACTGGTTACCATTTAGCCTCACCTCTAGAAGCAATGGCAAAGAAGCTAAAGAAGAAGGTACATTCCCACGAAATGCGTTGTTCGCCAACAAAAGTTTTTTCAAATGATGCATACCATCAAACGCATCAGCGGGTATCTCCCCTGAGAATCTGTTGTTAGACAAGTACAATGACTTCAACGAGACGAGTTTCTTGACAGGTGGCATTGCACCATCGAAATCGTTGTTCATGAAGCTTAAGGTTCTTAGGTTCTTGATGTGAGTCAATGGTTCTAGGTCTAGCTTCCCGGTTAAACTCATTCCTTCGAGTTGTAAGCCCCAGACATGTCCCGCGAAACAGAGAACACCGAACCAGTTTGATGATTTTTTCATGCAAGGTGGTGTTGATGGGTCCCAGCTGCTAATGACAGAAGCATTTGTTAAAGTGTCTTTGAATCTCAAGAGGGAATCTGCGTCTGAACCTGGCTTGACCTTGTGGTCTTGAGACATGACCGTTGTGACGGGACATAACGCAATGATGAGGAATGTAATGAAGGCTAGCTTCTTTGTCAAGGCGGTGTTGCTTGCAAACCTAACCTGGCTCTCCCAAGTTAGCATTGCAGCTAACACACGCTATTGATCGGTTCTTCAAGAAGATATTCTTCTTTTTTCGATCAGAAATATTTTTTATTTTTTCTCTTTTCTTTTCTGGAAGACAAAGAGAGAAAAAAAATGTATGAACAGAAGAGAGAGAGAGAGAGAGAGAGAGGGAGGACAAAACCTCACCAAGAATAGACAAAACCCAACAATGTCAATTTTCAAAACTTTGTTTTTGATTGCCTTGGTGTTGTCTAAAGATTGTTTAGGTTTTAGAGAGATCTTAGGGTGACCATACGATTCTTTTGTTTTTAGTTATACAATCATTGTTAATGTGATTTGTCATTTGTTCTAACCAATTCTTGGTATGCACCTATATGATAATATTGGAGGGTGTTATATGATTGAGAAAATCATAAAATTAGATTATAACCCACACGTCTGCGTGCGGATACATTTTCGATTTTATAATCATTTATATTTAGTTATTTTGAAAATTGATAAAAAAAAATATTATTACAATATGATGTTTTATATAACATAATTTAATATGTCTTTTTGATATTATTAATATATAATTATTTATATTCATATTTTTTATTTAACTAAAACAACATATATTAATATATAATTATTTGTACTTTAAAATTTTATATAAATTACTATATATATATAAGAAATAAAATAAAATAATGAAATCGAATTAGATTTTTTAATATTTCTCCTAGATTTTTTTAATGAAATTTAAGAATCTATTTATTTCATTTAATTTTCAAACACAAAAAAAAATCAATTGTAAACTAAAAAATAATATAATTAAATAAGTATAATTTTTTTATTTTTATAATGTATTTTTAAACTTAAATTTTATTTTTCTAATGTTTTTATTCTAACTTTGTAAGTTGAAACAATTTTATAAAAATATTTATTTTTTTATTTAGAACTTAAATAATATTACTTCTAATATTTTAATAATAATTACGAATTTAATTATTTTAAAAAAAATAATAATCAAAAGATTTTAAAAAAATTTGTTTAATCAATATAGAAAATATTTAAAATAAATAGTGTTATAAGAGAATATTCTTATGTGTGATGGTATATTTCATTCAAATGATAATATAATAAAGATTACTAATGAAATGGTCTAATGGTTTTTTATCAGTAGATAAAAATATGATTCTGTTTTAATACATCAGATGTTTTGTTGAACTATTTTCAAACAACCAAAAAGAGGAAAGATTATCCCCTCTCTACAAATTTATTGTATCTAAGAATTTAGAAGATTGCCTCACACATAAATAACTTTAGCACAAACCTCAGGTATGTAAATAAAACCATTAATAATGGTAATGGGTTACCTTCTGCATTGCAAACCGGCCAATCCCAGCTTTTGCTTTTGCAGGCACAAATAAAATAAAATATTCATCATCATCTGGCAAGCAAGAATTTATTTTGGCACAAATAAAATATTCATCATCACCTGCCAAATGAACAGTACAAACTAACTGATGGACATTACTCCACCACTGGAGTTGCTAAGGGCATCCTCAAAGGGAAAGCATTAAGGTGTGTGCTCAGAGTGAAAATAGTAGTAAAATAATGTATTTAGGTTAGGAACAAGGGACATCCTCAAAGAGAGATCACTTGTTAGAACTGATCTTGTGATTTTGGGGAAACGCGAGAGAGAAGAAGAAGGTGAACGAATAATTTTGGTTTAATGATTTTCTTCCAATCATCAACTGCCACGTCGCCCAGGAACAAGGCTTAGAACTGATCTTGTTCAAGCACTATTAAACTGATCTTAGCCCAATTTTGAATTTTTTCCAATTAAAATAAGCCTAAGCACACTCTAAGTGCTCCCCCTTTGAACATGGCCTAAGTTGCTAAGAGCATGGGCATCAAAGGTTCTTAAGGGGTTTATGGGCTGGGGTTTATTGGGTTTTTGTGTTTAATTTAAATGAAAAATGGGTAATAATTGATGAACCGGGCCGCGGAGGAGAACCCGTATGACTCGGGTTCATAACACGTGTCGAGGAGTGAGTGGGTTCTTGGACGCGCTTTGTCGAGGCAGAAAGAAGGGATCTCGTCATTTCGTCTTCCTCTCGAAAAAAATTAGGGTTTTCGTCTCAAGAGGCGATTTTGAGTGCGACGACCATCCGCTCCAAAAATCTCGATCAAATCGACGACGGAGTACCTCCTCGGTGATCTCAGGTTCGTTCTCGACAAGATTCACGGTTCGATTGAGTAGTTTAAGTTGATTTAGGGTTTCGAGTCTCGGATGGAAAATCATTTTTGGGGGTTTCTTTGATAGGGGTCTTAATCGATTAGGGGTTTCGATTTAGCGTTGTTTCTCGTCGTGGTTGTTTGATTTAGGGTTCCTATATATGTGTTTTTCTCGATTTGGGGTTTTTCGAAATAGGGTTCCAAATCGTAAATCGGGTTTGATTTAGGGTTCTTTTGTACGAAAATTGAAACATTACACCGAAATCGTAAAACTTGGAACCTAATAATTCTTTTTTAAGATTGATTGCATGAATTTTTTTCAAATCTTGGAACCTAATTCTGTTTTAAGATTGATTACAAATTACTTAAAATCCTTAGAATGATTCTGTAATAAATATTTAAAATCTGGTTTTTAAGATTTGATTAAAAACATTGAATTGGTTGAATGATTTTATTAAAGTAATTTTTGTTTTAAAAACTGATCACAGGGCCTTGAAAACCCTAAATTTAATTCGTGATCATAATTTAGTTCTGTTCTTTTAATTTTGTTGAGTGATATTGCTTATTTAATTTAGTTCTAATAATTATTTTATTTTCTTGTGCAGATGGATCCTTCCGATGAGAGAAGAAATGCAAAGAAACAAAAGGAACACTACGAGATGTTAGGGTTCGTTGCCGATTCACTCTACGGTATTCCAAAGATTTGTGCTTGCGGTGGTAAAATCATTCAAGAGATTCGGGGGAAGGACGTGTATGACACACTTCCAGGAAAGAGGTTCTTCACTTGCGTGAACTATGAGGTAATGGTTCTTGAACTCTCTCTTATATAATTAGTTGTTAATAAAAATTGCTTCTCTAACTTTCTGTTTTATGTTTTCATGTTCTCATCAAGGATGATGGGTTGCATTACCGTCATCCTTGGTTGGTGGCTGTCCAGGAGGAGATCGAAAGACTGAGTAAACGTGTGGAGGTGGCTGAGCAGATGCTCGATGGGGTGTTGAGTATCAGTAAACGGATAGATATACTTGAGGTAAAAAAAAATTTACTTGCTTTTTCATCTCTCTAACACTGTTTTTTTACTTGCTCTTTCATCTCTCTAACACTGTTATATTGTTGTTTCATGGCCAGGAACAGGTTAGAAGCCTCAGTGTCGATGTCGGTAACCTGGAGAAGATATGCTACGAGTGACAAAAGAAGGTAATTTCCTTTTAAGTTATTAAAAAAAATTTAGGTGTTATCTGAAAAAAACTACTTTAGGTTATTTTTAAAAGTTAAAGTGTTTTATTTAGGTTAACTAGACCTATAACAAGAAGTACACTGGAATTAATTATCAGTAGGTTGGTTGGTTGCTCTGGTTGTATTTAATAGTACTTGAATTTATTTAGTAGTTGCTAATATTAAGTATTTGATTTGATGTCTAATGACTGTTGTTTGTAGAGTAGTTGTTGTGTAATAAGTTCGATAATGAATTTTGGTAGGTAGAGTTAAATTGTTCTCTCCTACCAAATCTACAATTGGTTATAAAAACCTAAAACATCTTCAACTTCTGAAAACAAATTAACCTAAAACACCAACCCTGAAAACACATTAAGCTTAACCAAAACGTAAATGGATCCTTTTTCCCAATCCGGGTTTATTGACCTACTTGCTTCGCAAAGCAGTCCAGTAATAGACCTGGACTATGCTGAGGCAGTTGGTCACTCTCCCGGGTTAGCTAAACCCTTTACAAAGAGAAAATGGTTAGCAAAGGAAGACCTTGTGCTCATCAGTGGCTGGTTGAACACAAGCAAGGATCCTATCATTAGTAACGAGCAGAAGGGGGGTAGCTTTTGGAAGAGAATCGAGGAGTACTTCAACAATAGCCCTCAGCTCACTGGCTCCCTTCCTAGAGAGTCGAGTCAGTGCAAGCAGAGGTGAGGGAGGATTAATGAGCAGGTGTGCAAGTTTGTGGGGTGTTATGAGGCGGCTCAGAAGGATACTGGAAGTGGTGGAAGTGGTCACAGCGAGAATGATGTGTTGAATGCTGCTCATGACATTTTCTTCAGTTATTACAAAGTCAAGTTCGCCATGGAACACTGCTGGAGGGAGCTGCGATATGATCAGAAATGGAAGTCATTGTCAAAGTCCAGAGACACTTCGAAGGAGAAAAGGAAGGAAACAGAGGAGGTGATGCCTGAGGAGGAGGTCAGGCCGCCTGGTGTTAAGGCGGCCAAGGCAGCCAAACGCAAAAAACATGGCAATGAAGCTGCTTTCGATCAGATAGAGAGGATCCTCGCTGCCAAACAAAAAATATCCGAAGAAAAACTCCTTGAGCGTCTCCTAGCCAAGAAAGACACAGAATTATCTCCACTTGAAATCACACTGAAAAACAAACTGATGTCCGAAATGGTTGATTGTGTTAGCTATACCTTGCTTGCTTGAATCTGTTTTGTTTTAATTATTTAGTTGAGTCAACTATTAACTTGTTTGGTTATTCCTTTGCAGGTCACGGGCATGACTTGAAGGCTTGGTCACGGGTTGTTGCTTTATCTCTGTTGCTGCTTTATCTTTGTTGTATTTTTATGTAGTTGTTGCTGTTGTTTCACGGAAGCAGTGTAGTGTTTTGTTGTTTTCTACACTGCTATGTCTGTAGTTGTAGCTGTTGTTTCACGGAAGCAGTGTAGTATTTTGTTGCTTCTACACTGCTATGTCTGTAGTTGTTCACGGGTTGTACTTTAAAACTCATCACGAGTTTGTCAAACTAGCATATATAAATATGCTCTCTTCACTTCATGTATGAAAACAGCAGTTCTTCTTTTTTATCCTCTCTACTCCTTTATCCTCTCTACGTTTATATTTGCAACACTAGAAACACAAACAACACAAGTTCAACACAAGAATCACAAACAACACAAACAACACAAGTTCAACACAAGAATCACAAACAACACAAGTGCAACAAACAACACAAAGGTAAGTGCAAGGTTGTTGCACTTATGAAAATGTGACCATATATTAGGTTTTTAAAAAATTGTGGTTTTACATTTTTAAAAAAATTTACAATATAGAGTTTTTTTAAATGCTCCTAAAGTGATACAAAAATTCATTATTCTGGTTTTACATTTTAAAAAAAAATTACAATATAGAGTTTTTTTAAATGCTCCTAAAGTGATACAAAAATTCATTATTGTGGTTTTACATTTTTAAAAAATTTACAATATAAAAAGTTGTGGAGGTTTATTTTAAATGCTCATAAATTATACAAAAATTCACAATATAGATTTGTATTTTAAAAGCTCATAAATGATACAAAAATTCATTATTGTGAATTTTATTTTCTAAATAATTGTATAAACTGAAATTTTAAAATATAGAATTTTATTTTCCAGGGACCATAATGTCAAGCTCTTCAAATGATGAAGAATATGAAGTTTTTGAAGATTTGGTCGACCAACAAATTGATGATTTCATCGACTCTGTTGTTGATGATCAAGCACCCCAGCGGAGCAGACGAGCCTATATCGAAAGAGATCGGGAACAAGGACACATACAATTATGGCAAGACTATTTTAGCGAAAATCCTACATACCCACCCGAAATGTTTAGGAGGCGTTTTCGAATGAACAAGCCTTTGTTTCTTCGCATTGTTGATCGCCTGAGTAATGAAGTTCTTTACTTTCAGCAACGAAGAAATGGTCACGGACGGTTCGGGCTATCTCCACTACAAAAATGTACTTCTGCTATCCGGATGCTCGCATATGGTCAAGCGGCAGATTCGTATGACGAATATCTCCGACTTGCGTCAAGTACTGCACTTTTGTGTTTGGATCATTTCACAGAAGCGATAATAGACTTGTTTGGAGATGAGTATTTACGAAGACCTACACCGGAAGATCTTCAAAAATTACTCGATGTTGGAGAAGCACGCGGGTTTCCAGGGATGATAGGCAGCATCGACTGTATGCATTGGGAGTGGAAAAACTGCCCAACGGCTTGGAGAGGACAGTACACACGTGGTTCCGCAAAGCCGACAATTGTCTTAGAGGCTGTGGCATCACATGATCTTTGGATTTGGCACGCATTTTTCGGATTACCAGGTACCCTCAACGATATCAATGTTCTCGATAGGTCTCCAGTATTTGATGATATTTTACAAGGTCGAGCTCCAAAAGTTAAATTCAAGGTCAACACCCATATTTATCGTATGGCCTACTACCTTACCGACGGTATTTATCCGAAATGGTCAACATTCATCCAATCCATCCCACTTCCACAAACTCCTAAAGCGGCGCTATTTGCTGAACGTCAAGAATCCACTAGAAAAGATGTCGAACGCGCATTTGGAGTATTGCAAGCACGGTTTGCAGTTGTTAAGAACCCATCTCGACAATGGGAGAAAGAAAAAATAGGAAGGGTTATGAGAGCTTGTGTCATACTGCACAATATGATAGTAGAGGACGAACGAGACGGATACACTCAGTATGATACATATGAGTTTGAATCAGGAGACTCAAGCAGAAGCTCTGAAGTTCAACCGGCAACATCTGTGAATTTCGGGAATACGTTTGACATTCGCAATGACATTCGCGATTCACAGACACATGCACGTTTGAAAGTTGATTTAGTTGAAAATATATGGCAAAAATATGGTAATCAAGATGAATAATGGATTCTCAATGTATTGAATAAAATCGTTTAAATTTTATTTTCTAAGTTTATGAATTCTCAATGTAAGTTTTAACAATTCTCAATTATTGAATAATTTTTTTCCTTTCTATAATTTTAAATTTACTTTGCAATAATTTTTTTTTCAATTTTTTTATTTTTAAAAAAATATTATTTTATTCCTATGAACCCGGTTTGAGGTTCATTGATGTAGAAGCACAATTGGTCCGAGTTCATCACTATTCATGGTCCCATCAAATATTAATAAAAAATACATATGAACCCCAAGAGGGGGTTCATTGATGCCCATGCTCTAACAACACAAACCAGTTTGGTTTGGGAGAAGAGCTTTGAGGCTTGATGTGAGCGAGTAGAAAACTTGACTTGTTCCAGGATAACATTTTTTATAAGAAAAAATACATCCCTCAATTTAATAGTCCCATGTGGTTGGTTGAGTTTGAGAAGAAAGATAGGTAGCATCAATATGGGGNCATGCTCTAACAACACAAACCAGTTTGGTTTGGGAGAAGAGCTTTGAGGCTTGATGTGAGCGAGTAGAAAACTTGACTTGTTCCAGGATAACATTTTTTATAAGAAAAAATACATCCCTCAATTTAATAGTCCCATGTGGTTGGTTGAGTTTGAGAAGAAAGATAGGTAGCATCAATATGGGGAGAGACTTTTGTAAGAGTATACCATAATCAACTTTATTTTACGTATTATAATTGGTGAGAGAATCTCCCAAATATTTTTTAAATTTAGTCTACCGACAAATTTGCTTTGGTTATCAGATCTGTATCTCTCTTGATGTAATGTTGTTTGTTTACTATAATCATCTTTCGGTGTTAAAAAAAAAGTCTACCCACAAATGTTTCCAAAAGTTCTTTCTCTCTTTTTTTCCCCCTTTAACTAATCATCATAAACCATTGAGAGACTGCTGAAATGGTCTACCAAACACAAGCAATAGCAATCCGCCACGTCACGTCACGTCACGTCACTTTTGTCTTTTAACAATATAATCAGCAAGAGACACCAAAGGAACCACCTTGTCTGAATCAAACCCTCGAAGATGTTCCAACGCTTCTCCATTCAACTTCACCGCATATTCCCTAGACTTCTCCACTCCCATCACTCTCGGATACGTCAGCTTCCCGGCGATCAAATCTTTACCAGCGGTCTTCCCCAACTCCTCCGACGACTTCGTCACATCAAGCACATCGTCCACCACCTGATACATCAACCCAACGCATCTCGCGTAACTTCGAAGCCTCTCTATCTCCTCATCACACCCACCTCCAAGTATACCTCCCATAACCGCAGCCGCTTCAAGCAACGCCGCCGTTTTATGAACATGTATAAACTCAAGACGCTCCAATAATCTTTCCTCCCTTTCCTCCGAAACCATCTTTTCAAGATCCGCCGCTTGACCCGCCACGAGACCGTCAGTTCCAACGGCTCTCATCATCTCAAACACAGCTCTCGAAACCCTCGAGGGAGGAACGTTTTCCGACGTGGCGGTGGCGGATAGCGTGTGCGTTACGGCGAGAGCTAAAAACGCGTCTGAGGCTAAGATCGCGATGTCTTCGCCGTATATCTTGTGGTTAGTTGGTTTCCCTCGACGGAGGCTTTCGTCGTCCATGCAAGGAAGGTCGTCTTGGATGAGCGACGATGCATGGAGCATCTCGACGGCGCAAGCGGCGGGCATAGCGGTTGATTCTTGGCCGCCGACGAGCTCGCAAGATGCGAGGCAGAGGACAGGGCTGACGCGTTTGCCGTTAGAGAGGAGGGAGTATCTCATTGCCTCGTGGATTTTGTGTGCAAATGGGTTGGTGGTGCAGAGTGGGACGGCGTCGTTTAGTGCCTTGTTGATTGATTTAGCCTTGTTTGTCATGTAGTTGATGAAGTCAAAGCCGGCACTTGAGTTGGGGGAAGTCGAGAAACTTCGATGTTGGAACTTTGATGAAGATGCAAGTGCGACTGTAAACGCAGTGTGACGCATTCTCTAATCTTTTGAGATTAGAAACGAGTGGAGAAGAAAGGAATGAAGGTTTGTCAGTGAAACACAAGAGGTGTTCTATTAACAAAGAGAAAACACACATTATTGGTGCTCTTAACGTGCTCATCTTCGAATCAAATCACGTTTCTCGAAAACTTTAAGATGTATATTTAATACTTTGTTGCACTTTCACACATGATGACAAAGCTAGTTAATAGTTTATACTTACTAGTGGTATTTAATCAAGATAGCTTGCTACATGTTACCGATTTTAACCAAATTTATAACTGAAATATAATGGAAATAAAAAAATTATACTCTTTATATCATTTTAGTTGTCTTCTAAGTTGTGCACACATATTAATAAATCATTTAATTTTACATATTTTGTATTAAATTTATAAAACGACACTTATTTTGAAATAATTTTATTCCTCTAAAACGACAGATAAAGTGGAAAGGAGTGAGTATTAGTTTCGATAATATTTTAAAAAATCGAACTACCTCGATACCAACCGATCCAAACTTTTTTCCGGTTTTGAGATTTTCGTCCAACTGAACTACCCGAACCTGCTGGCCTATGTATTTCGTTCTCAAGTAAAGTCTTGTGTTTGGTGCAGACTAAATGCTACATGAATAGTTGCTTCATGGTTCTTTTAGCATGGTTCTTTGCTCCTTCTTGTTCCTCTGTTTCTTGCACGCCAAGCTTTCTTCTTCGTCTTCTTTGAAGCATGTTCTCTGCTACTCTTCTTTGTTCTTCTTATTCATTCTTCTTTTGTAGTATTTAATCAAAGGTTCAATTTCAACAGTTACTAGAATCAATACAAGTACGCATATATGATTATGGCATAACTGAAACATATGTTTCTAGTCATGTAATCTTAACTTTTGGTTTTATTTTCTTGTTCCTAAAAGAACCGTGAAGGGCAGCATAACAAGACAAGCATGAGTGAAAAGTTTCATCCTAATGAAGATGCAGCTTGGTTTCCTAATCGAACCACTGAAGAGTGGAACCGGACAGAACGGTTACACACGCTAAGGTGTGTCCTAGGGTTTGAGTCGGTCTCCCTCTGGTCCTAGGAAAGAACTATGTTGTAGGGTGCAGAAAAGAAAATGCATAAAATATATATATGTCATCTACTTTATTAAAACACAATCACTGCTATAATTTAACCTTCTATTACCATGGCATATTACATAGATTGCCACTCCTTTTTCAAACAAAATTTCACCCCTCATTAAGGGCAGAACAATAATTTTTTAATTGGACTTACAAATAAATCAAAGGCAATTTCTATTCACGTAACCTCCATTTAAAACTTCTTTTCACTTCC